GCCGCGACCTGTAATTTCTTTCATGTGAGTAGTTTTTAGTAGCAACCCTCCTGCTGTGTATAATACCATTGAAGTCTTTTTTTTTTTTTTTTGCTTCCATTCTTATAAATTTTGAAGAAAGGATTTACAAGTTGGTCTGTGTCATTTTCAACATAGGCAGGTGTGGCCAGGATGCCACAGAGATATCTATAGTATAATGCAGGTATTTATCCTTCGTGTTTGGCTTTTTTAATAAATTATATACCTCTCCAATTTCTTTTAATTGGTGTTAGTCCTGCCAAAACCATTGCTGCTTGGTAAGAGATAGATTGATAACCTCAGATTATTCTTAAGCAAATTTTGTTTGAATGCTTCTTAACAGCTTGACATTCTTTCTTTTCATGATCCCTGATATCCATACATGTACCAGACCGTTTTTACCCCCACTCCACCTCCACCCAGACAACTCCACCATCGGGTCTAAGAGCTTGCCACTCCCACCACTGATTGAGTGACATCATTGATTTTTCCAGCACCAAGAAGTTTGACAAGCATTGTGACCAACCTTATTTTTTCCTTTTTTTAGCCAGATCTAAGAAAAAGGCACCACAAAATTCTGCAGAGAATTAAAATAAATGAAATGGTACCTGACAAAATGATAGAAACTTTGACAGACCCTTCCAAGTCCAGACCTCGGGAAGAAAGGTAGCTCCAGGTGTCAGTGGAGGGCCCTAATGTTGTACACAGATGGACCAAAAATTAACAGGGAGTAATAGGGGTCAAAGGGCCAAATTATACCCTAGCAAAGCCCCTTGGACCGACCCCAACATTTTCCAAGCTGAAGTCCATGCAATACAACTATGTGCACATGAGTTAATACAGAAAAATATGAAAGGTGCACAGGTACACATACTCTCAGACAGCCAGGCAGCCATAAAGGCACTAAATGCGCATACTTTCAGCTCCAGACTTGTCTGGGAGTGCCTAAATTGCCTAATGGCTCTAGAAAAACACAATGACATTACTTTAAAGTGGGTTCCGTGGCATGAACGTATAGAAGGAAATGAACAGGAAATGAACTACTAGCCAAAAAAGGGGCAACCCACTCACCCATGGGACCGAAACCACAACTAAGTATTCTAGAGTGTGTGCTTAAGTTGGACTTGAAAAATGAATTGAGACAAAACTCAAACACTGGATAAATAATCCAGGCATGAGGCAAGCTAAGAGATTTATTAATATCCCAAAAAGGAAGGCGATAGAACTCGTCTCTTTCAGCTGGCAGGATTTGAGGAAAATTATGGGTCTCTAAACCAGCCATTGTTTAACTACCACCTAAAGAAGATGTGCAATGCAGAGGCAGAAACATGACGACTTTGTCAGAGTAACCAGAGACATTGGCAACGCTTTGTGAATGTGAAGCATCAGCTGCGTTACATCTTCAGCGACTGTAAGGCAATTCTCAGACCAAAAGAGGTGTGATGAGGAGGCACCAAGAAAAGCACTTAACTTTCTAGGGTGTGGTTATAATTGATAGGTTACAGTGGAGGAAATAATTTTTAAAATTCTTATTTAACTTACATTACATCAGGAGATCTCGATCTCCGAGGTCCCCAAGAGAATAGATAATAATAATCACAATTACATGGTATAAATATGGAACGCTACTCATAAACTGCGATATTCATCCCTACCTTTATAAGCCAACTTTCATTACAATATTATATATATATATATATATATATATATGTGTGTGTGTGTGTGTGTGTGTGTGTGTGTGTGTGTGTGTGTGTGTGTGTGTGTGTGTGTGTGTGTGTGTGTGTGTGTGTGTGTGTGTGTGTGTGTGTGTGTGTGTGTGTGTGTGTGTGTGTGTGTGTGTGTGTGTGTGTGTGTGTGTGTGTGTGTGTGTGTGTGTGTGTGTGTGTGTGTGTGTGTGTGTGTGTGTGTGTGTGTGTGTGTGTGTGTGTGTGTGTGTGTGTGTGTGTGTGTGTGTGTGTGTGTAATAATATTGTACAATAAAAACAATTTACAAAAATCAGTATGCTTGTTTCCTGAAAAAACAAATTGATAAGGATATTAAATTAAACCTTGTTTGGTCAGCCTTGCGTTTTTAAAAAATATTTATTTATGTATATATAATAAACATTTATAATTTGCATATTGTCAAAGTGGTGTGACGGGATTGGGTGGTGTGAGAAAGGATGACGTTCTTCAATATCCAAGATGTTTCAATTGCATTTTGAATAAAAATCATCAATCCCATTGAATTTGCATTTACAGGTGTACAAATATAAAATATGCATATATACATTTATTTATCAGTTTTATACTAACATTGACTACATTTGTATGACACATTTATATGGCAATAAGTTTAACAAAAAACGTATAATAACATTTGTTTCTGTTTTCCATATAGAACAATTTTTTTTATGTTCATTTTGAAATTAACGAATGATTCTCAAATTTTCAAATTATAAGCTCGACATCAAGTATAACCAAATTGAAAATTAATCAAACAATAGTTAATAATCAATGTTGATTTACAAGTTAGCTTAAATTATGTGTATATAGTATCTAAATTGAATATAGATTGTACCTATGAATATCACATTAAATCCTGTTTATTTTTATTTCTTGTATATAATCGTATAATATCTTTCAGTATAAAAATAAACCACCCTGTGAAACCCACATTAATTTTTCAATTAATTTCCTACCCTCAGAATGTCATAACACACGTTTATACGTATTAAATGCACGTTACTCCCTCATATATATTTCATTTTAAAAGGTCTGGTACTCTATATACAGACTTATACAAGAATAATGTGAAATGTGTGCCTGTAGAAACTCATTTTACAAAAAAAAAAGTATATATATATAATATATACACTCCTGCTCAAAATTAACGCACCACTTCAATATTTCACCATATGTTTTTCTCAGGTGTTTTTTGAACGTTATTTTTATTTTTNTTAGTGATTGAATAATTATAAATTTTAATTTTTTTCTATACATTCAACATGAATTTGTGTGAATTTTGAACAAAACGTTCTTTTATGATTGGAATCACATCTTTTGGGCTCTAGCATAGATGTGCTATAAACTATTTACTCTATAAACGACAAGAAAACAAATAAGCAGAGGACTTGTCAGGTTGTGTCCCAGTGCTTAACTTGATATTTGCCATCAACCGCTTTTACTCTGAATTGGTAAAAGTTTAGGGCACTTACATAAATGTGATATTTGAAAAGCTACACCAATTCCAAAAGATCACAGAAGTGACTCGTTAGTGATTGAAATACAAAACGTTTCAAATATTTCAACTGTGAAAAAAATGGGTATATTTTGTACTGAGCAGAAAGTCAGTCCTTGCAACGGTTATATTCTTTAGGAAAAACTAACTAACTTTGACTTTTGAGTTATCAGTTAAAAAAAAAAAATTCTGTTAAATTGAATCTCAGTGTGTTTATTATGCGAAAATCTGCAAGTATTTTCATGCTTTTAACTCCTTAACTAAAAACACAATTCTTTTTGTTTCACAATTCTAATTCGATTTGAAAATATTATTGGGCACATTGGATTTTTTTTTAAAACAAGTTAAATTTTCTATTAAGAGGTTTAAAATTGTATTAGGCATCTTCCATGTAGAAATCAAAGAATTTTAATGCTACAAAAAAATGCATTAGACATTTTAAATTTTTGGCTCGCAAATGGCCATCCTATTCAAATGAACTAGCACATATATATATCTGATACAAACTTATTACATTAAAACATATTTTTTTACTAACGTTTTGGTTTAGTGGCTGTAGTTAAACCATGAAAAACAGAATAATGAACATGCCAATAAATAAGTCATAATGACAGTGACCAAGTGAAGGATTTTAAAAATAACAGGAATATTTCTGTAAGATATAAAATTAATAATCCAAGAGAACATTGTACTTAAAATAATATTTACACTTTTTGTATCCATGTTAAAAAATAAATCTTCTTACATAAGATCTTAAGACATTTTGACAAATAAAAGAAATAAAAATTCAGAAAAAACGATGAATTATACGTTATTCAAGCCAGATTTGAGAGTTGAGAATAAATAAATGCCTATGAAAGAAACAAATTTGATTAGATGCATTGTAATTTATCCTAGTGAATGTACACGGAAATGTATTTTTCCAATACATTTAGCAAGTTTTCGGACAGGTTTTACCTTTACCTTTTAAAAAAGTTCATTTTCCAAATCATGAGCTTTAATACGTGTAATGTAATAAGTGAAATATTTATTTGGGATTTTTCAGATTTTATTTAAACTGAGGGAAAAAGTGAGTATTTGCATACAATTTATTGATTACACACAATGACCCCTGTCCAAAAACATTCACAAAATTACATTTTTCTGCTCATACAACTTTTTTTTTAATATAAATTTTAATGGTTAAAAAAAAGAAAACTAATTACATATTTGTGTATGTTCTAATTACAGTAAAAATATTTATGGCTACAATGTTAATGAAATAAAACATAAAAATGTAAATCGAGACTAGTAAACATACACATACATATAGATAAATTTTTAGGGTGTACAAATGCTCTCCTTATTTGGAAGACAACTAAGAATTTTTGCCCAAATTTTAAACATGAATCAACATACATTTAAAAAAAAAGAAAAAAAACCAAATAAATTAATCTTCAAATGATTTTATGGTATGAAATTCTCTAAATTGCTAAAAAAGAAAATGAAGAAGCTTAGAAGGGCAGTGGCTGATTTGTTAATTAACAAAAAAAATAAAAAATAAAAATAAAACTCAGCGCGTTTTCCTTGCTAAAAACTGCCTTTAAGCCATATTAAACCTATGATTTTTAAAAAAATAATAATAATTAATACTTACCTAATATTAATATCAACTGTAACAATTATAAAATTTTTATTTTAGGGCATAATTCATTTTGTTATTCATAAATATAGTACCACTGCCTTTATATAATGAGTAGGCACTGATTTAAGGCTTGAGACATAAAAAGCGACAAATTTTTATTACCACCAATATTTACATTTTTTCTTCTCTTAGTTGGGAAATTATTATTACGTGCAAGAATATTTAGGAAAATACATATGTTGTATGGTAACACTTTGTTACATGAGCAATGCGTTTTGTGACACAAATAAAGCCCCCCTGTTTATGGAGGCTAGCGAATATGTTAAAAATTTGGTCGGATTCTCCTACACCTATAACAAATATTGTCAAAAATAACATTTAACAAACATAAACTATTTTTAAAAAGAACATTTGTTTGTGTTTTTTTTTTTGTTGAGATTTTACAAGGATTTACTCTTATTTAACAATTTTCTTTTTATTACAATGAACAATAGACTATCTGAGATATAACACAAAACACTTAAAAACTGCAATAAGTACGAATTTGAATTCTTTTTTGCATAGATTTTTCTTTTGTCCTTTTTTTAAAATATAAATTTTAAAAATTAAGATGTATCAAAAACAGAAAATAACATTTATATTTTCATACGTTATATGGTTATTTTATGGAATTGTATTTTTTATTTTGATAAAATAATAATCTATCAAAATTGATTGGACCATTTAATCTAACAACAACAATTATTTGTGTTTTTACTTAATTTTACAATTTATACATAAACAAACAACACATTTTGTTATGTGCTCGATACAATATATGCATTTACATGTTAATTTACTTATAAAAACTCTTAACTAGTGTATCAGTGTATAATACACAATATCTATCAACAACGTTAACAACTCCAACGGAAGAGCTGAATTATAACCGAATCTTTGTACAAACGTGAGTTTTTTTTTTTCTTTTGCCACGTGGACATATTTTTCTCTATATTTATACTCGAATATCTTCTAAAATAAAAGTTCGTTCATAACAATAACCATTGAAACTTGATGTTGCGATTAAACAATATTTTATATTTCCAAATTACAATCTGTTACATTTGAATATAAATAAATTATTGTAGCTTGTCGCTAAGGCATGTTTTTTCTTTTTCTTGTGGTTTGACTTCTGATTCATAAAGTACAAGAATATTTTATTTAATATATATATTTTTTTTATCAAATTGGGGTGAAAACTACCCTTATATTTATGACTTTTAGACACTCTTATTTGACTATTGAGTGTTAGCTTGTATTAAAATGGCACTAAACACTGTGGTCACATTGCACATTGTAAAATTGGTAACCACTACTTCCCAATCATTGTATATCATATCTCTCTGGATCCATCTGAAAAAAAAACAGCAACAGGAACATGCCTGAATTAAATCAATAGCAATATTTATATTAAACACTCCAATACAACTTAAAATAATATAATTCTTTCATCGTTGGTTACCCTTTAAAATAAACTGTGGTTTGATCAAATTTGGATTAAAAATTTATGAAAATCCCATGCTTTTGTTTGCTACGGTAATTCTGTTTTTGAGGGAATAGTTATTTTTATTAATTATTTTAACCAGTTTTTTAATGTATTAATTTTTATGCAAAGAAGGTTGAGATGAAAAATTAGTGTAACGTTTACGACCTGACGTATTGTGACTTTGGTCTCTGAGACATAACTTCTTGTCTCAACTAAATATTTAAATTTTTCCTCTTTCCCTTTTTGACATAAGGAGTTGGTGGCTCAGGCGGTAGAACACTGGGGTACTAATTCTGATGCTGTGGGTTCGAATCACGCTTGCGTCACTGATTTTTCATCTCAACCGTCTTTGCTTAAAAATTAATGCTTCAAGTGTTAGGTGCATCAACCATTTTTTTTTACTCACGGAAAAAAAAAAAAAAGGTCATCGTCAAAGCATAACAATCTTAAAAATGTCTACAGATTAGCATAATTTTTAAATAAATGGTTTAAAATTTCTTTGAAGACCCAGTTCTAATATAACACTCCCAGTGACAATTTGTAGACACCTTTAAGATTGTTTTACTCTGAATAATGACCTTAACATAGGCCATAAGCTTGGCAGAAGATAGATTTTTTTTAATCCAAACCTGTGATCCAGATTATAGGACAGAAATTAACACAACCATGTAAAAAAAAAAATTGGATTGTACATTCTATTGAGTATGGTTTCTAGTTTTAGTTACATCCACTGAATCATACAAATTTATTGTTTTGTCTCACCGGCTCAGCGGCTTTACTTGGCTTTTGATCGAATTTGGCATCCAGGCTTGCTGTTCTTGCTCAAGAACATTCTTCCCTTGACCTACTACCTTATCCGTTAAAGCTACTATTAATACTTCCGAAACCTTAAGAACCACCTCACACTAATGGAGTCATGGTGTGAAAAAAATTAACCCAGAAAAATCTACTAACATAACCTTCATTTTCCGCAAAAATATCCCTCCTTTGGTCTACTTCAATTAAATACCCGTCCCAATTCCGGACAAGGATTTGCAACTAGGACCATAGGAATGTATGATTCAGTGGATGAAACTAAAACTAGAAACCTATTCAATAGAATGAACAATCCAAACTTTTTTTTCATACTATACTCTGGATCATCTGGATCACAGGTTTGGATTAAAAAAAGTCTATCATCTGCCAAGCTTTTGGCCTATTTTAAGGTCATGTTATTATCATCACTTTGACAACTTTCTAACTTAAACACCATTGTGAAGTCAATATGGACTTACGGACTGGAAGTGTGGGGTTCAACCAAACATTATAATATCCTCTGCATCCAAAGAGCCCAAACCACAATCCTCGAAAATATCCTTGAAGCAACCTTTTATGTGTCCAATAAAATTACCCATACAGACCTAAATATTCCTTGTCCAAGATGTAATCCACTCCCATTATCGTCTATTTCATACAAACCTCCCAATCTCCATAAATCCTCAAATACAAAAACTCATTCTTACAAAATTCCCTCCAGCCCGCCTCACAGACTAAAAAGACAATGGCCGCACGATCTCTTTTCCAGTGGTGTCCTCTACCCTAAATTGAGTAGAGAACCCCTAGGACCCATAGAAGTACTACCAATGGGTAGTTGAAAAAGTTTTTAGACATCTTTAGCCATTTGGTTCGGATTACAGTCTTGAAACCACACTTGATCTCCTACCCTTACACATCATATTCAAAGAGTGGTTGACTGCCAAACAGACTCATGAGATAAATTGGCCAAGGAAAGTTCAACATTGACAAATATTGTCCCTGAACTAGGATTGGGGCATACCAAACCACCAAAAATATGAATCCATCAGAATTAAAAATAAGTCCTCCATTCAATAGAATGTAGCTGAGGACAGGTGCATGCAAAAAAGTACATCAAAGGACCATCGCAAAAACAGCAAAACTACTAAAACTACGATAATTATAGGCATTATACCAGCCACTGCCAACTTAGCCATATAAGGAAGATGAGCAAAGCAAAAACGTAAACTTAGAAAACTGCCGACTTTCTGTCAAGAGAAACCGTAGACTGTGTATAGCCACTTTGGTAAGGCCTGAGACCAAGAGAAGCCCATAATAGCACCAAGGAAAGTATTTAATTTGTGGTAAAATGTACACTTTCCATGGTATAGTCTAAATCAAAGGGGTTCCACAATAGTCTTACATTAGTTTTGCCCCTATGATAATCAGACGAATGTTGTAATAAAGTAAACTTTTTATTTCTTGTAATAATTCTAAACATTAACTAAAGATTCATTAAAAATAATCTTTATATAGTTCATCTGATATGAAATAAATAATTTTATTATGCTAAGAGACCTACATACTTGGATTCGTCAGAACCAATTCTTTAAGACAATAATAATAGTTTGATATGTAAGTCAAATTTTGGTAACATCATTTAAAGAAGCTATTTAAAAACAAATCTAAGTTGTAAGCAAATAGAGAATTATTTATATTTGTGATATAACAATTTATTATTTTCTAATTAAAGAATGTGACAAACTAAACAAATACTTACAACAGAAGAAATCAGAGAGTTAAGTGGTGGCTATGTACTCCAATTGTCTCTCGGCCTTTTGCTCAGCGGCCCACCGTCGTAATCATGTCTTTGTCCACTCGGCGATGCTCCCATTCCTCCTATGCCAATATACAGAATTACCATAAACAAAATTATGCCTTGTGATAAAATGAGTTTTAATTACCTTGGGGGATATGGTGAGATAAAGAGTGAGTTAAATGGCCAAGTGGATCTCTAGGTGGTGAAATCGGTTCACTTTTAATTCTAACTGAGTGAGGCGATGGTGAAGACGGCGGTGGAGAACTACTGACACCTAAATGAGGTAAGCCGCTAAAAAAAAAAAAATTAAATTAAAAACAGAAAAAAGAAAGAGGTTATTATTATCTTTGATCTACTCTCTTGTTGGTTATAGGTCTCTCAAACGCGTTTTGTGTTATGCCATCTTCAGTGAGGAACTGTTTTGTTCTTGTAGTTTCTTATACATATGGGGTTTGGCAATCATCTATGTGGTGGATTTTTGAGTATGTTCTCTTTTAGCGTGTAAAACTTTGACATGGTTAGAATGTTTTTTTATTTTGTAGTGTTTTCAATGATGGGAGTTTATAAGCCCTTCATTTTTGCATGCCATTTCCTCGTCAATTTCCAATTGACTCCACTTCTTCAGTTCTTTTAGTTTATACTGACTACTTATTAATAAACTATAATTAATCTCTTAATTTGTTTTTACCTTGAATGTGCCATTGACGAAGTCCAAGATAAAGATGAGAGTCCCATGTCAGAATTTGAAATATCCGTGAAAATTCCAGGATACGGCCCAAGTACAGGAGTTTGTAAAGCTACTACAGGAGTATTTAACGAAGTGCCAACACTTGTATTTCCATTCCCTCCTCCACTCTAGTATGAATAAGAAAACAAACAGTTAATAAACAATAAGAAAAAAAAAGTCTCACAAAAAATTGGGCGATTTGACAAAAATGTTGGTTATTGCAAGCTCAAATCTGCACACACATGTACATACATACACGCATGTACAGAGTTGATCCTATCATTTCTTGCAGTCCACCAGCAATTCCAAGTTCTGTAATTTACAGTAAATTACTGGCAGGCCTCGAGAATCACCCATCCTGGGTGTTGGCAGTCTGGGGTCAGTCGGTATTATCCGTCCAGCTGCTGAGGTTGGGCTATCAACAGCTAGGTCATTTCAGCCCCCAACACAATCAGTTCTTAAATCCATTTACACTATCACTCACTCTTAAATACATTTTTTCTATTTACATACCATTCACTCAGGTAGAGTACCCAACATTCCTCCATTATCTATTATAACTAACCTAATTGAGGGTTGATGGGTATTCAAAATTCTGCCATCGACTCTCTCACACTCATTCACTCTAATAAATACACTCACTTTGAACACAAGGGGACACAAAAATATTGTTATTATATACAATAAAACAACCCTGTTTTCTTCAAAAATTGGAACAGAGGACCTAGATATTAGCTGCTGTGCTCATATCGGGTGGCATGTACACTCTCTATGTGGAACCAAGCAATGACCTTTCCATTAGGTTGGACACATCAAGCAATCTTTTTCTGCTTTCTTTACACAAGGACGTAAAAGTAAGTGTCTGTGAGTCAACCTTGCAAGGCCTTGGCCTTAATCAGGTGAGGATGATTCTATGAGTCAGGTCTTTGGGAGGGGGGCACTGATCAATGGTGCTCTTGATACACAAGAGCTTCTCTACTGGCCCCATCTAATTTCTTTTAATCATGTTTTTTTATTGAAATTTTAGCATCAGTTGGGCCGAATCGTGGTGTCCACAGGTTGGGATGTGCCGCCTCGTCCGCCTTTTCATTACCTTCCAGACCTAAGTGTCCATACCCAGACACTCCAGTTCATGATATCCCTCCACAAAAGAACCATGAGAGGGTATCGATGAAAGTGAACCTGTTATGGACAGTAATAACTGCACTGAGGGAGTTGGTGTAGACCAGGTAAGCATAACAACCATCATTTCAAATCCCCTCAACCGCATGCCAAATCACATATAATTCTGCTATATAAATGCTACAATGTGGTGGGGACAACCGTGAAGTGGGCACACCCTCGCATATACTTTTTTTAACATTTATATGTATATTTATTCTTGATTCATTCAAATACACTTAGTTTACTGAGTGAAAATTTGTTTATAAATCTTATAAAACAATTTAAATTTAACAAACAATTCATTTAAAAAAAGGCTTGTACTTACATCATCTTGTGCATTTGGTATAACGATCCTTAAGTTAGTCCTAGATGGTGCTGAAGTGTGTTTTGGAGGTGGAGGAGGCGGCTTCCCGTGATGCCCAGGAGGTGGACCTGGGCTTGGAGAGCCGCCGAGAGGGGAACTCGAATGCGGATAACCATTGCTCATCTCCAACATCCCGCCTGATGGATAAACTAAAATAATAATAATAATCTTGTTTATTATTATTTACTTTTAAAAATTAAATTATTATTTATTTTTTAATTCTGTGTTCTTTTTTATTTTCCAAATTCAGAATACAAATTTACAGCATACCTGAATCAGCATCTGAAGAAGACGGACGAGGGCTTAAACTAGTAGCATGGCCCATGTGAGGGCTCGATTGAAGCATATTTGTTTCTGAATATCCTACAGGTACGCTGACAGGTAAAGAGTGAGAATAACTCGACTGATTTCCTACCTAATTATTTAACAAGCGAAAATATAAATTTTAACTAACAGCATTAAAAAAGAAAAAAAAAAGAAAAAGAAATTCTTACTCTGTTATTGGAGAGTTGGTTTCTTTGCATCATCATTTGAAATTCTTCATCAATTTTGTTATATTTGGCCTCTGTCCTCGGAGTCAACTGATATTCTGAATCTCCTTCAGGACTATCTGGACTGCATGCGCCATTTTTGTGTTCCTTTTTATTCAGCGCCTACAATTTTATGCAGGAAAATTAATATACAATATTACACAACTTTCCGCACAGCAATGGCTATATCATTGCAACAAATTGTATGGTTTTTGGCGCTATAATGCATGTTTACTATTTGAAATGAACATTCATTGCTATATTTTTTCCTACCAAATTATTAAAATAATAAAGGCTTTATCTATGTTCTGATGGCATTGAACTAAAAAGAGCTAATTTTGAAATACAATCTTACAATGTTTAGAATTTTAATTTGTGTAAGCAATGACCTTTCATGATTATGCTGGATTATCCGTATGTTTTATAGAAAACACATTTCTACAACTTAGCAATTTCTGTGACTGTAGGCAACATCCAAGAGTAGCAGGTGCACCAGAAAATGCACACAAAACTTGTAGAAATCTCATATTAGAAATGAAGATAGGTAGAATTTTGAAACTACACACCAGAAGTCCCTAGTTACATTTTTATGTGTCTCTAATAAAGCTAGCAGATACTGCTCTAATGATATTGTAAGGTTCAAAGAATTGGTTAAAGGTTAAAAGGAGTTGGCCTATTTAAAACCTTGCGCACTGTGACCAAAGTTGGTCTATTGTGCAATCTCCATTATTATCTAGAGCTCATCTTAAGCTTAAAACTTTTTACCAGATCCGAAGCTTTCACAATGGCTTCTGAGTGTATCCTCCCTTGGCTTTGCCTCTCCCAGAAGCAGGAATGCTTTCGCACTGACGTAGTACATGCTATGCTGTTTCTTCTTCTTATTCATCTTCCTGGCAATATCGCACAAGTTTTTTTTCTGCTGCTCTGAGTCTAAACATAAGCCTCCAGAGTCTGAATCCTAACATATCCTAGGTTCAATAGTTATGCCATTAGTTTCTGCAATAGTCCTTTAATAAATTTTTTTGCATGCCTCTGTCCTGGAATACAATCTCCATCATTGTCCAGAGCTCTTTGTTAAACTTAAGGATTTTCATCAAATCTCAAAGTTAGTTAACAGCTAATCGAACCATTCCCAACCTAACTTTACCTTAACCATAACCTAAGCCAGCCCAAATTGGCCCATCACTAACCCTAAACCTATCTAGCCTTAACCCAACCTAACCTAACCCAGACAACCTAAATTTAGGCATCTTTCATCAAATTTGTTACTTGGATATATAAGTAAAATAATTCTGTATTTCTCACTGATTTAATTTTTTCCTTATATTTCCTATGATCTTAGTTCCCCTTGAATGTTGTAATAATATTGAAAACTTGATATAGTTTGGGATTAAGAGTTTGATATATTTTTTAGTTACGTATATTGTATTGTCATGAAATATATTCTTAAGGGTTCCTTTTTGTAAAGTATTTATTTTATTTAAATGATTATTGGCCGCTACACTATAACTTTCTTCTCCACATCGAATTAACGATTCAAAAATGGCTTTGTATACCATAATAATGGCACCTTGGTTAAGGTGCCAATGTTAAACTCAAATGATAAAATTTTGCACTACAAGCTTTTATTTTTTTGAAAATCTGTAAATTCAAACAGTGCAAGATAAGCCTTCTCCAGTATTATTCCGAAATAGTTCGTAATTGAAACCATATTTGTCATATCGTTATTAACCGCACAAAAATAGGGTGCCCTGAATCTCATCACAAGAGTTTTTTACAATTAAATATTAATTCTTTTCCATGCCCACTTAGATAAATTGTTACAGAGTTTTTCGAGCTTTGACAATTGTGAGTTGGTAGAAATGTTGAGTCGTCAGCAAATGAAAATTGCCCATCACTGACAACCAAATCATAGCAATCATTTATATAGATGTCATAAAGAATCAGCCCAAGTACACTACCTTGAGGTACTCCTCTATAGATGGAAAAGGGTTCACTGTAAGATTTTTATGAGACCCTTTCTATCTTCAAGATAACTTTGATAGAGCATCCAATGGGATTTAGGGTATCCATAACTTTTTATGATTTATTGTATCGAATGCCTTGGACAACTAAGATCCCAACACATAGTACCTGATCACAGACTACACAAAGTTGCAAAAATACAGCAGTAATTGCTCAGAACTTTTGCTTGTTTGACATCCATATTGTTTATTGATGATTCTGTAACTATCTAAGTACACATTTAACAGATTTGCAATGACTTTTTCTATAATTTTATCCACTACTGCAAGAATTGAAATTGGTCTATAATTACTGTAGTCATGTTTTTCCCCTTATTGATGAATAGGCCTACCTACTGAGGTTTTATTTATTATGCTTGCAGATATACATTTATGAGTTAGAATGTCTTCTGCTGTTAATAGGGGATTTTCTATTGTTAATTTTCACAATACTGTCCTATTATTGACCATTTTAACTCAAATTTATTTATTTTAATTAATTATACCTTTAATCTAAGGTCTTGGTTGAGATAAAAAAAAGCAAGTGTAACAAGCAGGATTCGAACCCACGACCCTCGGCTCAAATATGAAATCACGATAGCTCAAGTAGTTAGAGCAGAGGCATATTGATCCAAAGGTCGAGGGTTCGAATCCAGGTCATGACTCTTGCTTTTTCATTTCAACCATGACTAGATTAAAAGTATAATTCATTAAAATAATTAATATTGTCAATTATGATTGCTAAATACCTATATGGTTTAGATGTTAAGTTTGGTGTTCCCATTGAGCATAAAGGCGTTTGTACAGGTATGTATGATGTTATTACCTTTTTGAGAAAGTTTTTTGGCAAAATGATTAATAATTTCCTCAAATTTTTCAATTAAAAAAATGTTTTATGAAGTAATCTAAGTTATTATTTTTTGACCAGTTATATCCCATCTATATGACACGAATAACTTTACTTTTATCCATTCTCCTATTATTTATTAATTCCATCTTCTGTACACAGAGTGTATATTTCTGGAGATCGGCTCAATCGTCGCTTAATACATTCGTATTTAAACCTCCAGAGGTCCGGGTGGAGAAAGGACACTTTGTGCGTGTATGTGTAAGAGCGCATGTGGTGAGCTGGTGTGACCGTGGTGTGCGGGTATCTCGAGAAAAAAAGTCTTGAGATTTCCCTCACCAGTTGCCGACAAAAAAAAGTTCCAGTGTGCGCTCATCGACATCCTTGAATTGAACACCTTGCCATCTTATAGTTTCATAAATGATTCAATCCTATTCACAGCGTGTGTTGTACACGCGTGACCGACGCAGCAGTAAACGCACAAAAGTGTGGTGTATGTCCTAATTAATCCATAAGAAGTATTTTTTGTTATATCACGAACATATTAGATAAAAACATTCCGATGATTTACTAAAAACAAGAAAAAAATGGGAGGCAAATAATACAGTTTACGGTAGTTTTCCCAGGGATGACATAAGAGAGAACAAAAATCTACGACTGTGCTAATGTTAATGTTACACGTTTGGCATTAAACTGCCAATATTAAAGACAAAAAATTTCAATGATTTACCTTATGGTACTCAAAATGAGGGATGAGTGGCGGGTTTTCGGGAGGTTAAAGTTCCTTAGGCAGTAGTGTTAGAATGCGTCGAGAGCTTGGTGTGGAACTTGAAATCTTTGACAAAAGATATAATTGAGGTCGTAGTAGATAGTGACGTAGTAAGATGCCGTGACAATTTGACTATTGGAAAATGGATGGCTTGATCTTTTTAAAAAGATAGTTTCTACTCACAGTTAGTTGTTTTCAAAGATCCGTTTTTAAAGCTTGCAGCTCATCATCAGGTTGAAGGAATTTACAACCATGTCTCTCGACGATTGATGTCAATTCATGTCGAAAGACATGGTTGTAAAATTCCTTCAACCGGATGATGAGCTATAAGCTCGAAATCCGGATCGTTGAAAACAACTAACTGTAAGAAGGAACTATCTTTTTTTAAAAAATAGCCAACACACTCACTCCACCATATCATTTCTTTTGGATGGCTTGTGGAACCAGTCATTTCCACTCCTTTTGACCAAAATTATCGCGGTAATGTTTTGTACAGCGTTGAGATTTGATGGAAAAACAGACTAAGGTCCTAAAATGTCTTAAGTCTTGTGTGAGGAGTCCACCACAATATCAATGTATAGTTGTAAGTATCTGTTTTATGTGGAAGGTACTCTGTATTCAGTTCTGTCCTTAATTTTTGGCACCAGTCTTTGATAAGCTCAAGTTATTCTTGTATGATGGAGGTTGGATTTGGATAGGATTTGGGTTAGAAGACAAAATTTGAAGGAAAGTAAGCAGTATAAATTGTATTAAGGATGGGACCTTGAATGTACCCTTGTGGGACCTGTATCGGTGATATTTGAGTTGACGCACTTCACTCTGCAGTTAAATAGGACTCAAGGATAAGGAAATAAAGAGGGTAGGAAAGGTTTAAATTTATAAGTAAATTAAAGTTAAGTCTTTAGAAGTCTTTTGTTAAGTTGCCAGACTTAATTCTTGCGTGTGGAGTCTACCTCTGTCCAGGTACAATCGTTGGAAGTTGGAAGCTCCTTGTTACTGATGTACAGTGAAGGGATTGTTTAGTCAGTGTAAAAGAACATTCGTTGGTAATATGGGGTGCGTAGAGTTTAAAAGTGAAGAAACCTCTTGCTAAAGACAGTCATGGCATACTGCTTTTCCCCTCTTTCGAGTGTCCTTTAAAGAGAGAATTTAAATAATAGTTTCGAGTTTCTTATCAGTGGTTCCCCTGTATTAGGATATATAAGAAAGTCAGCATAAATGGAATAAAGATTGGGACCTAGAACGTACCCTTGTGGAACACCAGCATTCATTGGTCTGATTTATTCGTTGGTAATACGGAATGGGTAGGAAGCGTTCAAGGATATAAAGTTGTTATTGTATCAAAACCTGGAACTCACCCAAGCAATCTTTCTCCAAGAGGAAACTGTGTTGATTCTGAAACCTCGCTGGATCAACGGGAAAAATGATTTTATATCTAGGGTGGGTATCAAAGTTTCTAAAAGAGGATTCATAGTCGAAGTGAAAATGTTCGTCTATAGCATAAATAGAAACAAATGTACAAAAGGAAACTAAATTTTGTCGGCTTTGCCTAATGGTTTCTAACTTAAACGCTCAAAATCGCGAAAATCAGAAGTCTTAAAAAAAAAAAAAAAAAAAAAAAAAAAGCTGAACAGAAACAGAATCTACAGGCACACAATAAATAGTAAACATGCCAGTTTATTCAATAGCCACGAAATAAGCTAGAATAAAACTTAAAATAATGACAATCACTTACTTCAATGATGTTTTTATTCGTTAACGATTCGTGTGGCTCATTGTATTCTGTGTACTTCAACAGGACCTTGTCCATATCCGTACTTGCGTATTGGTACAACTTATTACTACTGCTGAATATAATTAAAGCGATTTCACAGTCACAGAGGACACTTAGTTCATACGCTTTCTTCATAACGCCGAATTTTCTTTTGTTGAAGGTCACCTAATCGAGAAAAAAAACTCAAAATTAAAACTTTCTAAAATTTTATTTTTCGTCCAAAAACTGATTTACCTGTCTGTTCCGCTCGTCAGTAATGCGCGATATTTGAATTTTCTTACGTCCCATGGCTTGAAAGTCGAATGGGTACACACCCTGGAGCTGACGGCTAGCAATTCTGGCGGCTGAACAATTACTTTCTCCTCCTCCTCCGGCTTCGTCCGATCTGTTGAAAAAAAAGTTTTTAAAGTTACATCTGGAAATCGAGTTAATACGTGTGTAAATCGTGTCTGATGATCCCGTTTCAACAGAGTAATTCAAACTGGAAATCACCTTCTCTGATGCGAACTTGAAAGGATTTCAAGAAAGAAACCGGCCATAGAGTTGAAGAGAGATAATCATGACACAGACCACTAAGCTGGACAGTACTGAACAAACATCTGTTATCTTACATCGAGTTATCCGAGAGTATATTTGATTTGATTCGATCATCACTGGTCCGCCTGTCATCGCTGAACTTTCCGCCAAACGCGATTTAACACGCGACCAGAAAAAAAAGAAAGTCGAGAAGGAATCTCAGACCGATTGGAGCACTGAGCGCTGATCAAACATTTGTTATCTACTCGTATCGTGTATTTCATTCGATTTGACCTACGGTCCGCTCGTTTTCGCTTAATGTCACATTGGGAACGTATCACCGATTAACGATGCTTTAATCCAAACTTCTGTTGAGAGAATTTGAGAACAAATTACACCAAAAAACGGTAAAACAAACCGTTGAAATAGGAAAATTCTTATCTTTGCCCTATCGCGTTATCCGTGAGTAAATTTGATCTGATCATCTCTGGTCTGCCTGGCGTGGCTGAACGTTTTCGCCAGACAAGTTTCACTATAAAACAACCGACAAATATAATAGGAGGTTATATGGATTTATTAAAGAAAAGATCGGACATTAATAGTGGAAAATTGAAACAAACCCCTAGAGACTGTACGCTAAACTGTTAACAGCTCAAGTTTACTACGGAATATCTGTTTTTAAGAAGTGAATTTATACTAAAATAAATAAAATTAATTGTATTGAATACTAACATTAAAAAAAAAAAAAAGATTTGTACTAAAATCATGCAAAGAAATGCAATAATTTCCAAGGACAATGGCGTTTCAGTGAGTTAAACTGGTAAAAAGATCAAGTTTACAACGGAATATTAACAAGTGAATTTATAATAAAATAAATTGTATTTAAAATTTAAAAAATTAAGATATGTACAACAATCATGCTCAGAAATGCACCTCACAATCGTGCAATGATTTCCTGGGACTTTGGCGTTTCAATAAGTTAAACCTGGAAAGGTCTAGTGTACTACAAAATATCTGTTTCAAGTGAATTTATACTAAAAGAAATATAATTAATTGTATTGAAAACTAATATTAAAAAAATTAAGATTTGTACAAAAATCATGCACAGAAATGCAGTAATTTCCATGGACATTGGCGTTTCAGTAGGTTAAAATGGTAAAAGGTCAAGTGTAGTACAGCATATCTGTTTTTACAAGTGAATTTATACTAAAATAAATAAAATTAATTGTATTTAAAGCAAAAATTAAAAAAAAATTGTGGTTGGTACAACAAACAGGCACGGAAATGCAGGAATTTCCTGGGGACAATGACGTTTCAGTATGTTAAACTGTTGAAAGCTCAGGTTTACCACGGAATATCTGTTTTTAACAAATAAATTTGAACTAACATAAATAAAATTAATTGTATTGAAAGCAAAAATTAAAACAATCATGAACAGATTCTTCGATGTGAAAAGAGGCATGGATACGACATAGAGATATGCGATACGTCGGAAATATGTGCCGGCATTTTAAAGCCAAATTTCCTCGGTTCATCGAGGCTTTCATGAAGGTCCGTGCTACTTGGGTTCAAGAGATGAACCACTTTTTTCGATAGAAGTGAACGGTGTCGCTGACGGTGTACCCCGACCAATCAGGCGTCTATTGTACATCTATCCTTTTAAGTTACAAGGAATTGGCCGCCTTCTGAACGTCGAAAACTGTTTGCACCCACTCATGGAGGCTGCGAAGGTACGTAAGGCCTCACGTTTGCTTAAAAGTTAAGATGACAGCCACACATCGACGCCGCCGAAGTGAAGGGAAGAAAATTGTTAACACTTTTAAAGTTTATCGGTCACTTAGGTGAGGAGCGGACATGAAGATTCTCCGGAAAATATTTGACTCGCTGCTGTTTTATGGTTGCATGGCCTATTCTTTAGCACGAAAAACGCGCCTGCAGGCTGATAGGCTCTACTATCAAGGTCTGCGAGCGGTCACTGGCCCATTTAGAACAATCCCTTTGACCAGCCTGTGCTGCGAGTTGGGAGTGCTGCCCCTAACTTCGGAGAGAGTAGCTCACCCTCAGCTATGCGGCGGGGTTCCTTGACAAACCGGGACATACGCTTTCGAGTGCGATCCTTAGATGCCAGTACAGCAGATGAGCAGAATATAGGAGCGACATGAGACCCGGACACATCTGGGAATAGGCTTCGGCGAAATCTTGGGGAGGGCAAGGATAACACTGGGTACGATATTCCAGTTGGGCAACTTGGCGTACTCGCCCGGGACATTTCGCCGAGTTACCCAAGTCGCCTACTCCGCCATACCTTTACCGAGCTAAGTTCTTGGAAGCCGGTTTTCGTCTCGTTGCACAGGCCGGCGAGGGTGTAGCATTGCACTTTTTTTTTAACTTTTTTATGATTGTATTTAAAATTACCGCCAAATCCCTTAAATGTTTTATCATTTTTACATCGTCAAATCAGGCAAAAGCGTGTTAATTGGCGCCGGATTAACGGGGATTGGATTACTAAAAGAGGATTTAAACAATATCTATATCTTGTGAAAATGGACCAATTAATACCCAAATTTGTTTCGGACGGTCTTTGTTCCTCTATAGTAATAGTTTTGGGTAAATATACCGTTTTGTCGCTTGCCAAGGGGGGTTGCCAGTTGATGAACCGTTCGATCTAACTTGAATAATCTTTGGGCCCACTTGCCTCGCTGTTTTTTGTCAATTGTTTCCCCTCATTTCTCAGATATGTAGCCAGACGTGGTCAGAAACTTTCCCATTGAAGCTGGCCAGAACGATCACACTAATTACAACGTTTTATAGTAAATCGAATTGGAAAGTGTTTTCCTAAATTTTCCATCCCACGCCTGTTAATAAAACACCCGGGAATTTATTTTGGACAAGCTACTTTTAAAATTAAGCTAATTTATTTTGTCTTATTTTATTGAAAAAAAAAAAAAATTATAAATCTAGCTGTGGGTTGGGTCGGAATATGTTTTGGCGCGTCCCGGTGGGGGAGGACTCTTCCGGATCATTAACACGAGGCAACATTTCACGTGTACACAATGCACATGTGTTTTCCTGTCTACGGACGGGGCCCCCGGTTCCTACACCCTCCTTCTCACTCCTTTCCAGACGAAGACTTCTTAAACCTTTCAATCCTCGGCCTGTGAATCGGCCACGCGCGTCTTTTCGGCTCATAAGTCTTCATCCTCTACCGACAACGAACCTGCGAAAGATTCGTCTTAAACATTAAATTGAAAGTGTCCAGTGAAATAAAAGCTCTTAGCTGAATTGATAAATTAGTAGATGGGAGTATAGACAAATCGATGGACATTTTACCCGACAAAACATCGAGAATATACGGACCAGGATGGCCATGCTACGGATAACCTTAAAAATCTCTTTCGCTAAAGGAAATTATGACCATAAGAATCGCAGGTACAAACTGAACCTAACGATAAAGGGTAAAAAATCTCACGAAAATGTGCCTTATTTCTGTAGCTTGTTCCTCTGCGATCATCCTGGTCCGTCTACCCTCGCTGTTCCGGTCATTAATCAGAAACGACCAAACTAGCATGCCCATCGCACAAAAAATCCCAGCACAAATGGTCTTCTACACGCAGACCACACAATGGCATTAAAATTAATTTCACAATTAACCCTTTTTTTTAATTTACCACCAGCTACCTAAACAAGCTTTTATTCAGATTTTTATAGGATCACCTAGGCATCCTTTATAAACTTTAACCCTTTACCAACCCCTTATTACCATATCTTTGAATCCAATTTAACTACTGCTTCGGAGTGAGGTGCGTCAAAGCACAGGCCAGCGCCCCACAGGGGTGCACTCTCGGTCCCACCCTTTGTATCTCACGACCATTCCAATGCCACCTACACGGATAATATCGCAATTTTGTCTTCTAACTCGAATTCTATAGAAGAATTCACTAGAATTTTTAAATTCAACACTTATAGAGTAGAGACAGTACAAGCATGTGTCGTTGAAAATGTAAGAATATGGATTTTTTCAGACATCAAACTAGCCGAGTTAGGCAGGTCAGGATGATCGAAAACGACAAGAAAAACCAAACCAACGACCTACGATGGCACGAGCTTAACAGACCAAATCAACGTGTGTGGGGACGAGGGTCCTCAGAAAAAACCGAACTAGAGTTTCATCGCTCCTCAAATCTCGACAAGGAATTTCACAATTCCCAGGCATCCTAAGCTGGTCGTGAAGAAACCTTTGTTAACTATGGCTCTATTGAAATCAATAACCACCTGCTTCCAAATTCTTCAGTTCCCTGAATGTATCTATGAAGATGACTTTAGTATGTGACAGTCCAACACAGCGATGATAGACGGACCAGGATGATCCGAAACGACCTAACTCATCACTCTTCCTTGAGAATTTCATAGTTCAAGGCTTATCGTGGAGTTAAAATAAGCACCTGGTCTACATTTTTATGTTGCCTATCTACTTGTATATAATTTGATCGTTACCGATCATCTTGGCCCGCCTATCCTGGCTGAGCTGGTCTGTCAAACGCGTTTTATTTCGTCAACTTCAGTCTGTTTATGCACAAGTGCAATTTATCTCCATAAAGGAACTCAAAGATTGCATCTTAAAAACACGACAAAATTACAAAAAAAAACCTTTTCAAATCTATAGCAAAAAGATTAGATGACAAATTAACTACTGGTTGGTGCTAAGCTAATGTTTACATATGTGATATCTGTAGTGACAGTTCAACACAGCGAGGATAGGAGGACCAGGATGATCTGAAACGACCCAACAGGCTCAACAAGTTCCCGTTTTACTACAAAAGCGTATATTTGTTAAAGATAGGAATAAAAATTATAATTGGCAAGAAGAAAAACCAGAGGAAAGTGCAGTGCATCCAATTAGGAGGATTCTTTCTGAATATACCGTACTAGATAATATTGTTATTCTTATGACCCCTGAAACGTTTAGGTTCCTGAACGACCCATGAGATTTATCAACGTTTTTTCCCTTTCTCTCGCCCCCTTCGAAAGCAAACAAAAAGGGGGAGAAAACTAACCAGGGCAAATGACCTCTTTGTTTGAATCAATTTTTCATCCGCAATCACTTTTCCAATGAACATCCCGTTGGGCACCGGCCCAAAAAAATATGTAAAGCTGGAAAACATTATGTATAAAAATGTTTGTTAGAGGAAACAATAGAAGTGCTGTGGATTGACGTCACAAACTGCCCACGCGAACCCCGGTAGCCTTGACGACGACACAAATCACCAAGGTCACCCCCTTCCAACCCTTAATCAATAAATCAAACCATTCACATCTTCCTTTACAGGTGAAACGCTCACGAAGGCACCCCCGACCGTCCTTTAAGGTTTTTTTTAATTTTCAACTGTACATATATATCAATTATGTGATATGATACAACACTTATCATTAGCAAATATCCCGAGGGGAGCCAGCAACCATTGCTGCTCTCCCAGTTTTCTGAATTCCAAGAACTATTCATAAGAGGTCCAGCGGCCATCTCCGCTTCAATAGCCTTACTGGATTGTAGAGATGGATAATGTATTGGACATAGATCGGGCTAATGTGTTAGAATGTGAGGATAGTTCTTCATGGAATGTGGAAAATTTGGTGGGGATTAATTTATTTAAAAAGGTATTTTGAAGTAATTGTGGAGGGTGGGACTGGAGACATCGTAGGGAGCGTTGACTATGATTCTGAGGACTTCGGATTGGAAGGATTGAATTCGTTGGATGTTGGTAGGTTTAGCGGTTCCCCTCAGTTCTAGCCACAATGTCCAAATCGGTTGCAGTAATGTTTTGTAGTGTCGATTTGTTTTTGTTAAATTTCAGTCCGCGTAGTTTATAGAGAAGTCCGAAGCAACTGTTCAGTTTCTATCTTTTTATTTGTATGTGCCGATACCAGGTTAAGAGTGTGTCAAGATAGGACCCAAGGTAGCGTACACAGTCGGTTTTAGGGATAGGAATATTGTGTGAGTGTTTTTGCTTCAGAGGCTAAATGAATTTTTACGGTTTGCACAATTGGTCTATTCGTTGGACGTGTGCCTGGAGCTATCCGAGGCGATTCCAGGATAGGAAGGAAAGCACAGCTATATCGTCTGCAAAGGATGCAAGGAGGGAAGAGGGTGTAGTTGGGATGTCTGAGTGTAAAGGAGATGGGGAGTGGCCTGAGCACACTGCCCTGTGGTACTCCCCCAGTCGGATTATTGCGACCCTTAGCGAACTCGGAATAATCGTCCTGTGAGGTAGGAGCGAAAGATTAGGTGTTTGGAAGGACGCGCTTTAGTTTGTACAGAAGACCCTCATGCCACACGACGTCAAAAGCTTACATGTTTAGGAAGGACTAAAACAGTATTCTTTACGCTCTAAGGATGAGGATATGTGGTCTACAACGCGATGCACCTTTAAAGTTTTAAACGAGTTTCCAGAGAGAATATCTGGAGGGGGGGGGATAGAGCATTCGAGGGTTGAAACTCGACCGATCGCCAGTCGACGGCGCACCTCCGGTCCAAACCGGCACGACACCCCACAACTCTCAACAATTTCATCCCTAAATTTTTTGTAAACAACCTCGATCAATAATGTACAATAGTAATAGTTTTATGATAAAAGATTAAAATGGAATTAAAAAAGAAAAGATGGACGTACTGCAAATGGTTTTATTGCCGGGCTTTAGGTGATTATGTCACTACCGACACACAGTCTTTAATAAAATTCTATCGAGCTGAAAAAAAAATAAACCGTATTTAAGATAAATGGGCGATAGTTTACCCAAAAAAAGGAATTTCAGTTTCACCCGTTTACATTTTCCCACCCCAAGACTTTTTCCATCCGTATCAATTTATCGAATAAAAATATATTTACCTTTAATATTTAGCGACTTTTCCACAATTATTTAATAAAGAAGGTTCGACGAGATATTATGTAATGAAAGACGCCTCTACAATCCAACAATCCTCGTTTTCCTCGACAAAAAATTATTTATTTCCCCCAAATTATAAGTTCGCCGGCTTTAGTGGAGTTTACAACTTTTTTCATAATTAAAATCATAATTTCCCTCCTGAAACAATTATAGCGAACAATTTAATTGACAATTAACAATCTTCATCATCATATTTTGTAATGACGTAGAAATCTAAAGCTTAAGTAAAAACATTATCATTTAAAGTTTTCTCGTTCGGTAATTTTTTTTAAATTTCCACCAACGCAGAAAATACAATTTTATCAGTACCTACTTTATCATATTTTACAAACAACATCCTAAACTAACTGAATTATAATCAATACTGATTGTGAAGAGTATTGCACGTAAATTTTTCACCCCCCCCCAAGATTTTAATTTCAAAAACCATTTCAAATCGAAGATTTTCCTGGTTCTCCTCTACCCGAGAATAGGCAAAGACGTAATTTAACCGTGAGCTTATCGATAGGATCCGACTTACAATCAATATTGATTTAAGACAGTAGTGTGTGTAATTTTTATTCTAACAGGCTTATTCCTTCAAAAACAAAAAAAGTACCTCAAGGTTCTTCAAATAATTGGAAAAAAAATCTATTACATCAATAATACAAACAAAAAAGTAATTAAAAGTAATTCTGGTTTTAAAAAAGGGCACTAAACTACCCCTTTGGAGTCGCGGATGAGCGTGTGCACTTTACAATATTTTCTCCATATTATTCACTATTCAAAATCCATGGACTGGAACCCAGGACCGCTAGTTTGTCCAGACCCCTCGATGCTTCCCAATTTGTACGCCCAGCGATTTTAAAACTATTAATTTCGTGAAAAACCTCTGGGCTCGTGAAAATAGAAATAACCCTGCCAGCCTACAGCAGGTTGAGCAAGAGGTCGGTCCACGGAGAACGAGTAAAAAAAAAGAAAATACTGACAAAGACTACGCACAACTCATACAAGAATAACACATTTTTATTGGTTGAAGGCTTGACGTTTGTGGGCTATATTTTCATATATCGTCGGACCTCTGCGTAGTCGTGGAGCACACATCGTTCCGGTACCTTAAGGCTATGGGGGTTTTTAAATGTGCATATTTGGGTGGTGTTTATGTTCATTTATTAGAATGAAAGTTAGTTATTAGCGTGAAAGAAAGGGGTTGTTTAACCCCGCCCCGAGGAATATCGAGTACACTGAGGGAGTAAAGCCGGGAACACACCCGATGCTACCCGACGCCTTGTCTCATTTTGGTAGGGTGTGCACATCTATGCGACGTACAGTCACACAGCGTGTATCACAATCGCAACGCCTCTTTAGTTCTAAATGCATTATTTTGAGCAAAACCATGTAATAAATTGTTAGTTAAATTTAATTGTTTTAAATAAAGTTATTCCGGTGTTTTGATCAATTTTGTACCAAACCATTAAAATTAATTTTTTAAAATAAAAACTAATGAATTTTTGCTTTCGTTTAATTTGGTTTATATTAAAATAAGAATGTTGTAATTAATATAACGACAAAATTACATATATACAGTTTGCAATAAACTACAAAAAATATGAGTGTCCTATTCTGGCGCTACTCGACGAAATTTGTGTAATGTTTGAGCAAAACCATGAATTAAATTGTTAATGGAATTTTATGAGGAAAACCGTGTAATAAATTGTTAGTTAAATTCATTATATCAAAAAATGCTTCCCGGTGTTTTGATCAATTTTGTACCAAACCATTAAAATTAATTTTTTTAATCAAAACTAATGAATTTTTGCTCTCGGTTAATTTCGTTTATATTAAAATAAGTTTGTTGTAATTAATATAACGACAAAATTACATAAATACAGTTTGCAATAAACTACAAAAAATATGAGTGTCCTATTCTGACGCTACTCGACGAAATTGGTGTAATGTTTGAGCAAAACCATGAATTAAATTGTTAATTAAATTTTATGAGCAAAACCGTGTAATAAATTGTTAGTTTAATTCATTATATCAAAAAATGCTTCCCTGGGTTTTGATCAATTTTCTACCAAACCATTAAAATTAATTTTTTTAATCAAAACTAATGAATTTTTGCTCTCGGTTAATTTCGTTTATATTAAAATAAGTTTGTTGTAATTAATATAACGACAAAATTACATAAATACAGTTTGCAATAAACTACAAAAAATATGAGTGTCCTATTCTGACGCTACTCGACGAAATTGGTGTAATGTTTGAGCAAAACCATGAATTAAATTGTTAATTAAATTTTATGAGCAAAACCGTGTAATAAATTGTNAACTAATGGCATTATAATCAGTATTGATTTTTTTTAAAACATGATTTTGAGTAATTTTGTATTCAGGAGTTGCAGGCTTTTCTCCCTCGTTTTCAAAAACGTTCAATAATTAAAAATCGAAATTTCCCTTCAGGGAGCTGTTTCACAGAATTATGTAACTGATAATTAACAATCTTCATTATCATACTTTTAAGAAATTAAAAATAAAAAAAAATTCTTGTTAGAATTTCAATTAAAATGGTTCTTTTTACATACCTTAGGGGGTTGAGCGTTATATGGAAAGTTTTTAAGAATTTTCTTAAATGAAAATCTTTCTTCCTCATTCTCATAGAGGAAATTAGACCCCAGAGAACATTTTCATCAATATTAAGTCAATAATATATCTATCCGTGGAAGTTAAAACTTATCAAAAGACGCATCTGTTCAAAACTTATTCTTTTCTTTTGTTCTCATTGAGAAACCAAATACCGACGAGGCGGGGTATTCATTTCTCCATTTCTATCACAAGTTCACACATATACGGATAAAAAGTATAATTAAAAAAAGAATGACTTACTTGAACTTAACCGGATAGTGGGTGTGTAATGTATAAAGTCCTTTCTAGTCAACCTACAACAGAAGTTCATTGATTGAGAGAGTGGGAGATTTAAAAAATCACAACGTTTAGTTTTCAGATTTTCTTTCGTATTCCCCCCCCCCCCTTATCACAAGGATCAGAAAACCGAGCACTTTACCAAAAAGGTTTGAAAGATAAACTGGGCAAAAATGAAAGTTTTGGGCTTTTTTTAAAGTACCACGTGTAAATAGGGAAAGGACGAGGATTAAGGATCCGATCCAGGCCCGAACCGGCTGAGAACTTAAGAACGGGCTTGTTTAATTGTTTTGCCAGGTTCTAGGGGGTCTCGAGAAACAAGGAGTAAAGTTGTAAATGGTTTTAAAATTCAGCTTAAAACGAAAATCCAACGGATTATGAGCAAACTATTTAAAAAAGAAGAAAAACCAAGATCGACCAGATGAAACAAAAAAAATATAGCCAAGAAATTCGCAATATTGTTAAAATTAAATACTTGTAAATTATGACTGAATAATAAAACTAAAACCTCTGCAATAAAAAATTATTCTAAAATGTCAAACGGCTAGGACTGAGAAGTATGAGCCAGAGGCGAATGTCGTGTGACTCTGGGGTGAGTGTGTGACGTCCAGCCTTGACTATGGTTTTTAAATAAATAATAATTAAAGTACTAAACAAGACTAAATATTTAATATTAACAGGAAGTTGTCGTACCTAGCTTTGTTAAGACCCTATACAAAGGACAGGTCGAGAGGAAAATGCACAGGCGCATCGAAGAATATCGGCTGAAACGTGAACAACATAAACAGTCCAGGATTGAACTGAAAAAGAGCCTGTTCATTAAATCTTGTTCTATTCTCGAACAACTCGTCCAAAAACAAGAATGAAGAAAAAAGACGTGCCATAAATTTTTTTTTGATTGATTAGCCCTGACGCCAAAGTGCAACTTGTCCAGTGGAATAATCCGAAGGTGGCTTTTCTTTGACACGATAACTCATCTTTTTAGGGTATATTTATTTAACAATTCAACAGGATGGGTAATAAAACCGGTGTAATATTTATATATTAAATCGGATCGGACGAGCGAGGTGGGTTGATTAGTTGTCTGCTTTGTCTGACAAAAGCCAGACATCCCTCGTCGTGATAACCGATTCGAAGGGTTCGAGTAAACAGCGTCCTCTCGAGTGCAACGCCCTGGATTTCCCGGCCCTTCGAAAGCTTTCTCCAGCCTTTCTCCTGTCCATTAGGGGCGACTTTCTGATCTCGTTTTTCAAAATCCATAGCTACCTGCCAATTTTTGAAAGGTCGCTGATCGACGACTGGTACGCATGCAATTTTCAGGTCTTACGATTTCCCTTTTCGAGTAGCTGTGTCCCTTTGAAATTATGCAATTTACTCTACCCTCTACCATCCCTCGGTTGGTCTGGACATTATCACCGAGTTACTTTCCTGAAATGCTGCAGCGATAATCCGATGGCCATGCTGGGGATAATTAAAAAATCATTGAAAGTGAATAATAAGACTTTTGCCCATAATTATAAACGATATGCTTTGACAGTTTATAAAATATTATTTTTTACCAATTAGAGAGATTTATAATAAATTGTGTGGTTCTCCGCAAGGGTCAACCTTCAGTTTGGGCATTTCCGTTGGTCCTGGACCGCCTATCCTCGCTGTTTTTTCTGTCTGATACGTGTTGGCATTCTGCTAACTTTCAAATAAACACAAAATATTGAATCAGCAAGAATAGGAAGACGAGAAACTGCCAGACTATTTACATATTAAACATCGACCATTTGGCACCAGCCACTCTGGGCATTTGCTTTTGTTTTCTACCATATTTTTAACCAACGTTTAACCATTTTGAAATTCGTATTTGCACTTCATAGGTCACATTAAGTAAATGCTTCAGGAAACTAGAATTATTTATAAACCAGTTCCTCAATATAAATCCTTTTCTTGTTCTATCGTTCTCGAAATGCTGCAGGGACAAAGGTCGCCGCGCCGTTCGGTGATTGATTCATATAAGCTTTGCTTCTCGTACATAATTGAGCTTATGACTTCGAGTTTTGTCAGTCCGGGGTCATTTTTATCCGTCCCGCCACGGAAGTCCGGCTCCGGAGGCTGACAAAACCTAGGTCATTTCAGCCACTTACGCACGCAGTTCATACACTAAAGACACTTTGATTCTCACATCAAAGGCACTCGATATTCCTTAAACATCCTATACTACATTAATTGTGTTTTGATTTGATGCGCTTGGATGATTTGATTTTCTACTTTTCTTCCGATTGTATTGGGGCGGAATAAACGTTATCTTTTACCGTCCCCAACAGGAAAAAATCTAATGGGGTTATTTCTGGAGATCTTGGAATCCATGCCACAGTTCCCGAACGGCCAATCCAACGAAACTCATAGTTATCAGTGAATCAGTTCTTCACTATCCTAGAACTGGTCATGGCCTAAAAACAAGCGAAAAGCTTCTAAGGGAGAAAATGTGGACCGATTAAATATTCATCCAGCACCAAGTCCAGCCGGCCGGGCGACTTTCCGATCTCTTTTTTTCAAAATCCATAGCTACGCGCCATTTTGAAAGGTCGCTGATTGACGTCTGGTAAGCGTGCAATTTTCAGGTCTTACGATTTCCCTTTTCGAATACCTGTGTCCCTTTAAAATTATGCGATTTAAAACCCTCTACTATCCCCGGGTGGGACTGGACATACCTAATCATCGAGTTTCTTTCCCGAAATGCAGCGGTTAAATGAGTGCAGCGATAATCCGATGATAATTAAAAATTCATTGAAAGTGGATTTTCAGAAGTTTTTCGAAATCCATCAACTCTGTACCTATTGAAAGAATACAGATCCACTTGTGCTAAGTTTGCTGATGTCCCTTCAAACCCTGTGTGTAACTTCAACCCCTCTACCAGACTTCAGTGAAGATGTCAAAGATGAAGGCAACGTTTCGGTTGTTGGCGTTCATGACGAAAATTTTGAAAAAATTATCTTTGGTCCACCATTTGCAAGCCAAAAATAAAAACAAATTTAATATTAGAATTTAATATATGACTTGGCGTTCAACACTGGCTTATCCTAAGCCTGTTGTAGCATACAAACAAACACTGTGATTATCTATGTTCTCATATGTATAGAGATTGAACCATCAAACCACCATCAAACAAAAGTCATCTTCATCAGCCTAATTTCGAAGTTTGTCCATGTTATATAGCTGTATATTAGCAGTACTTATATTATACTACACATACAGTATATATAGCACGTACAATGAGAAAATTTCGAACCAGCGAGAATAAGCGGATCACGATCGGAAACGACGAAGCTTATTACAATCATAAGCATAAACATTCTTCACCTGATTTGTTTAAATTCCTGCCTGCACTAAAGAGAAACAATGCAAAATTTTCAGTAATGTCAATTTTGTAGATATTTATTTTCACTAGTTTCTCCTCGATATGTGTAAAATTTCAATCGTCTTTCTACTTTTAATAAAAAAATGTGGCTAAACATCGTGAACAACACTCAATTTTATACCCAAATATGAAAACAACGTGGTGTAGAACGAAGTCAAAAAAAGAACCAAGACTAGAACAATAGGCGATTTTTTTTCTAAAATCATAATCTAATCAATTCATCTATTTGTTTATCTTGCACCATAAGAAAAGTTATATACTGTCATATAAATGATAGATAGGAAAATCACACAAACCAACCGCTAAATAATACAAAAACGCGACCTGACAGAACAAAACCCTTAGAATAGGCGGACCAGGATAGGATTTTAGAAGGATCAAAAACGAACATACAGCGATTTACAGTTTTTATGAAATATTTCCCCCCATCGATGTTCTTTCCTATGATTGTATCAATGTACAACATTTTCCAACATTTTGGTCGGTGGTGTCTTGTCGCGTACCATAGCGTTTTCGTCCGTAAATATTTCTTCATATTTACGTTAACGGAGTTTAGAAAGTAAGCACGTGCGCTTTGTAAGAAAATTCTTAATGACTTTTCCTTAGAGTGGGGACGGTAGTTAATTGCTTTTTGTTTACTTAGGCAGTTTTGGGAAAATCTTTTCCCCCTTAGAATATTGCCCAAGATCCATTTAAGTATAATCAGTGTACATTTTACCATCTAATGAACGAATGGGGCACAATCGGCTTATTGGAAACAGACAAACAGGCTTAAGAAAATGCGAATTTCTTAATTAAAAACCTAGTAGGAAAACAAAGAAAATTAGCCCGGACGTGTTGGTCTTTATGGGAATTTTCCAGACTAGGGTTGACGTAGCAATACGGAAAGAGCTGATTAAACAAATTAATTGCTCCATAAAATATTAGTAGTATATTGCTTATACCATTCCGATTTGACTTGGAAGAACTATCCAGTGACAGTACTCAGTTAAGCATTTCTTGCTCAATGTTACCCAGGGCAACACTGAATTTAGTAAATTTCCTTAAGTTTAGCTAATACCATGACTTTAAGGCGGACTCAGTGTTTTTCTTTCAATGTTTTATCCCGTGTATTGGTAACCCTCATGTTTTTAACGCCAATATAAAAGCTCCTTCTTTGAATCTATCTCCATAATCGAGCTTCTTCACTCGCCTCTGTATCTTGTATCGATTCTTATTTTTTCCAAACATAAATTTTTTCATATCCAGTTCATAATTTAACTATTTCTAGACCAAAGTTGCTTCAGAGATGCTAACATTAGCAATTTTGTTTAAGGTTAGTAGGAAATGCCGTGATTGCGCAATGTATTTCCCGTTCTCTTTCTGCCCGTGTACTGGCAACACTGATTTTTTGGCGCCAATTTAGACTAGGTATCACTACACTCACGGCATTTCCCGCTAACCATCTGCTTTAAGACAAAATTAAGCCATAAAGTGTTAATACATACAATGTTAATACTATGTAATAGATAAAAATGCAATAAATGTAAATAAATAACGTGTGAGTAGGTATTTGAAAAACAACACTAACAATTCATCATGAGACGAACGATGGACGTTTCTGTTTGT